ATTCCATGTACAGTGGGGCAAAAAAGTATTTAGTCAGCCACCAATTGTGCAAGTTCTCCCACTTAAAAAGATGAGAGAGGCCTGTAATTTTCATCATAGGTATACGTGGGAGAACTTGCACAATTGGTGGCTGACTAAATACTTTTTTGCCCCACTGTATACTCTATAACATACAGACATTCTTTTTACCCTGGTGGGAGAACTTGCACAATTGGTGGCTGACTAAATACTTTTTTGCCCCACTGTATACTCTATAACATACAGACATTCTTTTTACCCTGGTGGGAGAACTTGCACAATTGGTGGCTGACTAAATACTTTTTTGCCCCACTGTATACTCTATAACATACAGACATTCTTTTTACCCTGGTGGGAGAACTTGCACAATTGGTGGCTGACTAAATACTTTTTTGCCCCACTGTATACTCTATAACATACAGACATTCTTTTTACCCTGGTGGGAGAACTTGCACAATTGGTGGCTGACTAAATACTTTTTTGCCCCACTGTATACTCTATAACATACAGACATTCTTTTTACCCTGGTGGGAGAACTTGCACAATTGGTGGCTGACTAAATACTTTTTTGCCCCACTGTATACTCTATAACATACAGACATTCTTTTTACCCTGGTGGGAGAACTTGCACAATTGGTGGCTGACTAAATACTTTTTTGCCCCACTGTATACTCTATAACATACAGACATTCTTTTTACCCTGGTGGGAGAACTTGCACAATTGGTGGCTGACTAAATACTTTTTTGCCCCACTGTATACTCTATAACATACAGACATTCTTTTTACCCTGGTGGGAGAACTTGCACAATTGGTGGCTGACTAAATACTTTTTTGCCCCACTGTATACTCTATAACATACAGACATTCTTTTTACCCTGGTGGGAGAACTTGCACAATTGGTGGCTGACTAAATACTTTTTTGCCCCACTGTATACTCTATAACATACAGACATTCTTTTTACCCTGTTCTAATCAGCTTCCATGTCTTTTCTTACATTCATTTTCATTCATTCTGTTTGGAGATTAAGCTATATTCTAATATTTTTTCATCCAAGACAGTGTCTTCCTACTTTATTCTCCATTTACTATTATTTCTTCTATGTCCATTGTTTTCAAATTACATTACCAAAATTGGTGTCTCTTACATTCAGAACCTCTCTTCATCCTTTTACCATTCAGTAATTATCTCAATCCTTCATCATAAGCAGACAAATCAATCATATGTTAGGTATATTTTTCCTTTCCCTTTCTCTTAATTTCATACACAACATATTTTTCGACTCCATTCCATTCCACTTGTTAATTCTTGTTCTTAATCATATGCTCCTCTTAAATTACAAGTTGCAGTCTTCCATATGCTGTGGTCATTAGCAGATGGTTCTATCGATATTGACCTCCAGCATCTACTTGATCAGTTGAGACTTCCACATAACTTTCTTTAGTAATGTAGAAAATGTATAAATGAGATTACTAGCCTTGATCACCCCCATGCCACATGCAGCATTTTATTTATTTATTTATTTATTTTATTTTATTTATTTATTTATTTATTAAACTTGTCCCCCCATCTCCCCCAATGGGTTATTGTTACATTGTAACCAATGTAATTGGTTACATTTTACAGTTACATTTTCTAACAATGAAGTTAGCAGCAGCCAGTTTTGGTCCAGTATGCTAGAAGCACAACCAAAATCCAGTTTTATCCTGGCATACTCATATGATTTAGTGCAAGGTAGGATCTCTGATCTAAAGACTACCTTGCAAGCCGACATGCTTTTGCCACTGTTAGTTAGCATATGCAGCATATTGATATAAACACAGGATGCATCAATGAACTGATAAGGAAATCCCTTCAGTCCTCTCTGAGATCAGTTCAAGTCTGCCACTTTTTTTACCCCAATTTCCTGTAATGAGATATATTACAGATATTCTTCCTTCATTTTTCAGTTTGTGTCACTAGCTGAAGTTTGACATGATGTGTACCCCTATTCTGAACAGCAGGATTGATATTGTGTGTATTATGAACCAATGAACAGCCAGCCAAGGCTGATTCACACTGGGCATGTTGTACTACAAAGCTCACTTGATGATCTTGATCATTGCTAAATGTCAGTTAACCTCTCAGCAGGTTGCTCAGGTAAAAGAGCAGAAGAAAGTGTGCTCCCGTAGACAAAAATGGGAGGGAGG